AACTTACAAAATCATACGTCAGATATGACAGGGACACGAAAAAAACGGACCCCTAATTTCTGGAATTACCCTAATATAATTTAGGTGACCTTGGATTATTGCTTTCATTGGCCCCAACCTCCCACAGCATCATTCAGCTCCTCCCCAAGTTATCTCCTGATGGGCCATAACCTTGGCTGCACCGCTTGGTGTCCCTCCTTCAGTGTCAGTGATGAATGATAAATGCTTCACAATGAGAGACAATGCTGAGGAGTTACAGCAAACCAGCTGTCGAAAAACCTTCCGCCAGTTTTTGCTGTCAAAAATTGCACTAAGAGGACACTAATTTCTATTTGTCCGTTTGTGATGCACACGATGCATCCAATCCTGTTGGAAGTTGCTGTTTTGGGGCAAAGGGTGGTCATAAAAGCATGGTTTGCAAGTTAAAAAGACATGGGCTTGGCGTATAAACCAAGGTTTTTTTTTTGCTCAGTAAGGATGACCCGGGTCAGAGGGACTTGGGCAGCACGTGGGTGTGCAGACTCACGCGCATGCAAGATGCCACTTCATGCAACAGTTCCGCAACCTACATGTATCTCAAAGGGGAAACTTGTGAGCGGAGCAGAAAGAATCAGATTTCTGATGGGAAGTCACACCCGTCTTAACTGTGGCTTTTTGCAACCATCACCAACTTCTCGTAAGCAAAGCAGGCAATGTCGTTCAGCACACTAACACGTGTGTAGGTCACAGAGACACAAAGCACGCATGCTCTAGTTTGCATGCATATAATGTATGGTGCATGGGACTCATCACCAATTTTCATCTGAATATGTACAAACACCTGCCTTTTAAAGAGGAACAAGTAGGATAACTTGGAAGCAATTTAAGGTGCTTAAATCAATTTCATTCTTGCTTTTGCTGTTGAGAGCATTTTTCACTGCTATTCTTGTTCTCTTTTTTTGGGGGGGTGAAGGGGTGATTGGGTGGGGACTGGCAAACCCAACTTCTCTCTCTCCCTCCTAATCCTAAGTTACCAGATCATGAACTTGATTTTACACATCACGTGTGCGGATACTTGCCTGTATCGTCTTGCCATTCATCGCCTTGACGACGTCCCCCGGCTTGTTGGCCGATCCGTTCAAGAGGTTCTCACACAGTGGTGTTATGGCGACCACATTGATGGCCAGCCGCAACTTTGCTATGGCATCCAGTGCACCGGCAACCACAGCCGCTCCGCCCATGTCGGCTCGCATGGCCTCCATGTTTTGGGCTGGCTTGATGGATATGCCGCCGCTGTTTGTACGGGGGAGAAATAAATGCATTTCAGCGCTTGAATCGTCTTTGAAAGTTTTGAATAAGGTCTGTTACGTTTAATTCCAATGAGATGCAACATAACATGGGGCCCAAATATCGCATGTAACAATGCACAGTTGAGCATGAAGTACTAAATAACTTGCCTAATTCCTGGCTGATTCAAACTTTTCTGCTGAATTTGCAAAGTATGATGCTGTCTCAAAATGTCAGGCATGTGAGTAAACGAGAATTTTTAGTTTATTGCAAATGACATGAATTTAGGGAGTGACACTTGAAGTTGTGGGCGCTTTGACAGGAAAGCGTTCATAGTAGATGTACTCACTGTATAAGCTGAGAACAATCGATACTTAGGTGTATGTTTGTTTATCAGGCAAAATCAATTCTTTAAAAATCACAGGTTTCAGAACCCAGCAAACTTTAAATTGAGATATTTTGTTCCCCATTTTGTTGTAAATGATGAGTTTCTGACAATGCAGTGTGTCTGTAAAAGAAGTAAGAAAAAAATAAATATGAAATACCGTGTTCCATAAATTCATAAGGAAAACCTTAACTCCAAGGCCTTCCATTTTCCACAGCAATCCCTTCAGAGTGTATTATCATGTGTTTCCCACTGGACCTCTTAAAAAGAGAAAGTCTCAAATGCATGGTTGATATGCTTGAATAAATGAATAACTGATTAGCTGAACACACTCCAATTTTTTTTCTAACCCATGAGTCAGGTTGGCGTAGTGTTTCTGTCCTTGCCTTCTACGTCTACGGTCCGGGTTCGATTAATGGCTCAGTCCACATGAGGATTGGGTTTTCAGTCCCTGCCTGATTGCGTGGGTTTTACCAAGAATATGCCTCTAGGGTTTTCCTCCCACCTCTAAAACTGTAACTGCTTCTCACTTTCTCCTCTCTACAGGTTTCTTCAGGCTTGCAAGCTACAGTGCCTAGATCACTTTTGAGGAATCCTTGGTGTCATTACCAAAACTAATTAATAATAACAATACTAACATTGACTACAGACTCACAGATGTGCTAATTCCAAACATAGCTGAATTTTAATGAGCGATTCACCCACAGCCTACGGCTTGAGGTCAGTGGCAGTAGGGGTTCAAGTCAAACCACCATGGCAATATAAAAAAAGACACCGTACCTATCAAAGGTCACCCCTTTGCCGATCAGGAGAAGTGGCTTGACCTCTGGGTCTGCTCCATTGTAGGTCATCTCCAGGAAGATCGGAGGCTGATCCGAGCCCTTGGCAACACTAAGGAAGGCGCCCATGCCCTGTTCCAGAGCCCACTGCTGGGTACTGGGTGGAACAAAAATACATGTGTCCATTACTGGTAAGACTTATCTCTTATTCGGCCAGTCTGTGAGGTAAGTCAGTTGATTGCATGCCTGGCATACAACGTTCTTCTCCAACCCATACCATGAAATGACCTATGAAACTGTTTTTAATTACAGGTTTTGCTCATAGACTGACATATATTCATCAACACTGTATGCTCAGTGCTCGCCCAAGAGCTTATGAAAATTTTCACAAGCTTACTCGGGTAGGACTCGAACCAACGACCTCCTGCTAACTGGTGCAGACGTCTTCAACCACCAAGCTTGCCAGGGTCGGCTGGCTGGTCCGAGTCAGATGTAGTAGCAGGTACCAAAACGATGAAACTATTCTTACGAAAAACCTTTCAATAGCTGTATCGATATTTGAGCATGTAAGCCGGATGAGTATTCCAAGCATGCCTGCTTAATCAAGACGAGTTATAACGCTGGAATAAAGACAGGTGGTACCGCAATCGCATGCAATGCTACCGGGAAAACAATGAATAAATCTGCAAATAATGTTTATCTAGGTATTCCACGAGGAAATAGTGCTAAAACTGTGCATTAGTTGGGGCATAATAACTATAAAACATGGAGAAGTCAACGGCATTTTAATTTGTACTTCATATTTTGTTATACTTGCATGCGTGTGAATGTCTATTGCAAAAGTTGAAACCGTCAAATCTTGACGTGTGCACACATCATTAAGATATCACTCTGGCTTTGTGTTAACGCCCACATACTGTGCTCTAGTGACGATGGTTTTGGTGATCCGCAGCTGTTCGCCTGTGATCTCGGCAAAGCGCCTGGGCGTCAGCCGGTTGGCTGGCATCTCCATCAGTGTCCGGGCAAAGTTCTGGCTGCCGGCCAAGGTCAGGCCCCTGGCCCACTGGTCCTTGGCAGACCTGAGAATCACAAGGTTACGGAGACAGTGTTTTGAAAGATACAGATGTCGGGGGGGAGAGGAAGGCGGAATTGTTTCTTTTTGCAGCCTTTACCCTCAGAGAGCCAGGATTTGGGGGCCATCTCACTGGCATGGCAGATTTCTCGGCTGACCTGAGCCTGATCTTTTTGAAACATGACAAGCATGTGCAGGAGTGAGATCGACCAATGATAAAAATAGCTGAAAACAGCTGAAAAAAAACATAAAGAAGCTGAACTGTGAACATCTCCTGTACTTTTGTACACAACAAGTGAGAAAAAAAGCTGAAATCCAAAACAAAAAAAGCTGAAATCAGCTCAAAAGCCAAGAAATCTCACCCCTGCATGTGAAGAGTTATGATTCTGAGTAAATCTACGAACTTTCAACTCTATCTAACATGTTTTTTTTTTTGGGGGGGGGGTTATGGTCATTTACAGTTTACGCCTGCATACATGTCAGCCCATGTGCATTGAACACGTGAATGAGCAAAAGTTAACATTTCTGGGACATCTGTTTGGGACGTGTTGACATTTCATGACGGTGCCTCCATTTTTCATAACAGCGGTGCCAAAGTCATTGAAAGACATTACTGAAAACAAAAAATCCTATTGGCTCGGTACAGAATAAACGCATTCTGACAATTTCACAGAAACTGTTGACGTCCCTCCCCCCAACTCTTCTTGGGCTGAGGCTGAGCAGAAAAGTTAATGTGTAGTACAGTCAAGCAGAGGGGATGTCAAAGCACCTACTAGGCACGTAAGTGTTTTTCTTGCGGATGGAGGAAAATGACAGGACCGGGAAAACCTGGCGCAGGACAAAAAGGTAACTGCCAACTTGAATCACGTATGACCAGGGCATGGAATCAGACCCAGGCCACTGGTCTAATAGCAGGTATGCCGTGCACTAGCTTTCCATGGTACCAAAATTTCTAAGATTATTCGGCCGGGACATATCCCATGTATATTCTTGCAACGTTCCGCTTACTGTTTTGCTCATGAAATATTGTCAGAGAAACACAAAATGAATTTTACACTTTTCTTCCTGCTGCAAACTTTCAAGGGATCTTCATCAGTTTGTGCACCCCTTTGGGAGCGGGGTTAAAGCTTTGTGACTCCTGACCAGAGAGGCAGGAGTTTTAATCTAGCTGCTAGCCACAAATTATGGCCTTGGGCAAGCCATTTAACCCTTGCTTGCCTCTCTCCACCCAGGAGCATGAAAGGTACCGGCCTTAATTGGAAAGCGACCTGGCATCCCATCCAGGGAGGAGTAAACATATTTTCAGTTGTTTTACACCAAGGAAAACGGAGATAAACCCTGGCATGACGAACCAAATGACTTGGAACAGTTTTGCTTTTTGGGAAAGCATGTACAGTCCTTTTTAAGGAACAGACACAAGACAACTTTGCACAAGTCTCCCAGTCCATCTGAATGCCAAAGACTGAACACTCCTCCGTGTGGATTAGACTAAGGTGACTTTATCCTCTGGACCGCATGTCCAAACTCTTTGTGGCTCAAACCTACAGTTCTGGGTCGCCGAGTATGTCCAGCTCCACTTTGGGTTTCTTCTTGCTCTTGTCCTTCAGCTCATCGTAGGAGAACAGAGCCAGGCTAGCTCCCTCTGCAGCAGCTGTGTAGGAAAAGAAACCACTGCAGTCTTGGTACGGACAGTATAACTTCCTAAATTTACTTCCTAAACTAAATAACCCTTTGAAATCTGTTAGTTTCTTTTATATGCTCTGTGCAATCCACCAGCGGTTGGTATTTTGAACAATGGACCAGCCCGGGACACAGTATTATTTTTAGCCGAAAATCCTGACTTTGACAAAAGTTACAGCCAAAACGACAAGACAAAGTGGAACACCACTAAGTGCTAACCCTTTTTATGTAATTTAAATGACCACAAATACAGTAACAAATTGGGTCCTCCCTGACACCAAAAATTATAAACATTACGGCCTGCAGTGTACACTGCTTGTCTGGTTTTTAACTGGGCAGTTGACTCTAGCAAGCTCGGCAGTCGCATGGTAAGATGCCTCTGATAAGTCTGTGAATTGTTTTGTCCCAAAAGCGCTGTCAACACTGAGTGCACAGTGTTTGAAAGTGCGGCCAACTCTCGTTATTTCTTTGTTACAACCGGGACTTTGGTATAAAGGAGTTGAAAAACGAAGGAAACACAAGCATTTAAGAAATGGGGATCCTCAGAACATGCTGTTTATAACAGTATTTGTTTAACAGTGTTCTTTAAGCAAGAGTTGACTGTATCGTACATTGTTGAAGGTCCGCAAAACAAAAACAACCCCACTATACCTATGTAAAACATTATATCTAAACCAAACACTTAGACGACAGTGAGTTTGAGGGAGGGCTGATTAGGCATACGTCCACTCACCCTGTGCATCAGTGCAAGGGTCCACGCTGATGCACTTGGCACCCGACTCCCTGAGCTGGGTGGCGCCGGCGGCAACCGCAGCTCGAATGTTCTCCTTGGCCTCGTTGACCTGCTCCACATGGCTGTACCCTGCCGACTGCTTGCCCAGACCCACAACTGCCACGCAGCTGAAATCCTGTCAAAAGGGAAAATAAACAGACGACGCTGCCATCAAATTAATTGACTGACTGTGAATGACTGTGAATGGCACCGTGGCACTATTTACTCGGAGGGATGGATCATATGGCATCCAAGGCGAAGCCCTTCAACAGTTTGTTATATCATTTGCCTTAATTAAACCCTGATTATGAAAGATAAAGTCTTAGTACTTTCAAAGACAACTTGTTATTTTTGTCACTTTTAAATTAATGTCTCTTCATCAGATTTATACTTTTTGGTACATGTAGTTTTAATGTCATATTAATGAAAGGTGTGTAGCGGTCGAATGTGGATTTCTTTCCCTAAAATTATCTAGCCATGCCGGCAAGTCACAGACTTGCAACTTCTTTCCTGTATCCCACAAGAAATATTAGTCAAAATCCTCACAGTGCAATCTTTGATCTTTTTCCCTCAGGACATAACAGTAGTTCTATTACAAAATTCTTTCCCCCCAAAAAGACAAATAACAGCAAATTTTGCATCACGAACGGATCATTCAGAAGAGAATCCCCTTGGATGTTTTGTCTCTACCTGAGACTTTCTCTGTACAAATAGCACAGTACGCTATCTGGGCACACCTAATTGTTTACTTCACAACAACTCCACACACTTGTTTCAATGAATACAAAAACCTAACACTGTGCATTAAAATACCCAGAGGCACACTCTCTATTTTTCCAAAAGACAATCGATGACATCAAGGCAATGAGTCCAGATCTGGACGGATCTAGAACCACATTTTCAGGAGACCTAACTAAATTTTTTGGGGGAGGGGGGTCAAATTTTTTTTCCCAGTAATCTTTTCTGGCTTTTTGGAGGCCACATGTTTAGGCTTTACACGCCTCTTGAAGGAAAGGAAACGAGACAGACCAAAATATTTGCCTTTGTCTCATTATTTTTCCAACGAAAAAAAAAGGGGGGGCCTCTTTTAGGGGGAGGGGTGGCATGGCCCCTACTGGCCTCCTTGGATCTACCCCTGCAAGTCTAGTGCAAAGAAACCGTGGCTTCGCTGATCAGTCTAGAATCATATTGAAAGCAAACACGAATGTGAAATTGTGATACCAGATCAAACATTCATTCTACAAATTTGTACAGGTTGAACATATTTTAACTAAAAGTGAACTTCACAGCAAAGTGCTTTTCATGAAGTCAAATTTGCTCCACTTTAACGGCCATCTCAAGTACCAACTGACCTTAACACAAAAACCTGAGGTTGGGGATTACATGTGGCAATACTTTACAGGGAACCTCAAAAAAGTAAATGTGACCCTCTCTGTGAAAATGAGTCACAAGTCGGCAGAGCCACTATGGAGTAAAAAGTCCTTTCGAGTATTTTTGCACAGTGTAAATCAATAGGAACCAACAGCAGTTTTCACCATGGATTATCCACTTTCATTGGGATACCAAACTGAGTGATACATCAAAACAGGAAGCTTGACTCGCTCTTTTCAATACAAATAAAAACTCAAAACGTGGCTCTGGCGACTTATGACTCATTATCACAGAGCAGGTCACAAATATCTCAATTATACCCACTTGATTCACATCATAGAGGATCTTTGCTTGGCCTGGCTTTATGGTTGGCCCAGCTCTGTCAAACAAACAGGTTACAGAAAAAAAAAATTGAGCAACTGACTGCTTGGGAAGAAAACATAAATCTTACTTGTAAATGGCTTACAAACTGACGTACTTCATGTGTACATGTACATGTATCTTCGTAAAAGTGTCGACAAATTGTGGAAATGTCCATATGTAAATATGCCTTAAAGAGAAAAGTTACTGTTATAAAGTTATTAAAGAGAGCCTACTCAATATAAACACATGTATGAAACAGTTGTCAAACTGAAAGATCTAACCAGTCAACTATGCCAGGCTGGTCTGAGAATCCCAGCTGACACCTAACACAGGACCAGACAGTGAAGTGGAACTGGCAGCCATTGCCTGTACATGAACTTTTTGAACAATGCAAAAGGTCTGGGATGATGCATCTCTTCCACCTTGTTGCATTGAGACATAGAAAGACATGTAGCCGATTTCAAAAAGGAAAAAGTTCTCACACGTTTAAGAGCTCCTGCAGGCGACCTGACACCCTGCTGTTGACTTCTTCTGCTGCCTTGGTGAAGATAAAACCTTCTTCCTTATCATCTTCTTTGCTGTACACGCCAAGAATGACTCCTTTCTGTTCCTCGGACAAATATCCAATATGTGGTTCACTAAAACCAATGCATACTGCTAAAAACAAGTCAGGTAACAACATGTGCACCACGCCCAATGACCTATTTTAGCTCTCAGTGTCAAAGGTTAATTTTCTTCTGTTTGCAAATAAAAAGAAAACAAAGTGGCTATTGTTACGGTAACCGTAACGTAACTTCAAAATTCTATAATTAGAACAGTGCAAAATTATCATTGGTTTAGGGTTTTAATTTCCTGTCACCATTGTGGCAATGTGGTGGAACAGGCGGTACACATGCCGCTGAATAAATGCGCACATGCTAGGATTTTTTCCCTTTTTTCTCTTCTTCACTTTCTTTATTTTCTCAAGCAGATAACACATTTTCTTTATATAAAAGTTTTTCTTTTCCTATTTGATAGTTTTATACCCCTAGAGGATTTTTTAAAGGGTACAATAAAACTAAACATTTCTCCATTGTCTTCTCCACTCATTATCATCCTGTAATTGGCATTAAATGGAAGATGTATACATAGGGCCAAGAGAATGAAAGTTTTAGATTTGCATCCACCACCAGCATGCTCTAAACAGCCCGCCGAAAAAAATTGATTATTTACACAAGATTTGATAAGTTTCACAAAGAGGCTATCAAGAAGATTTCAAATCCCAAATCATAATGCAGCACTTAAGGGGTATAAAATGTGCATGTACCTAGGTACCTACGCACACCTCCGCCAAGCCCCAGACTGGGGGCCAGTCTACCGGAATCCCTCCATATCCTAGGCCCCACAGCGGTCCATTCAAAAAGTGGGGACTCGCTGAGTCCCCATTTTTTGAATGGACCGCTGTCCCCACTTTTTGAATGGACCGCTGTGGGGCCTTGGATATGGAGGGAGTCCAGTAGACTAAACAGTGGGGACTCGCCGAGTCCCCACTTTTTGAATGGACCGCTATCCCCACTTTTTGAATGGACCGCTGTGGGGCCTAGGATATGGAGGGAGTCCAGTAGACTGGCCCATGGTCTAGTGTCTGGGGCTAGCCTAGGCCCTACCTACATGTACTATGGCGTTCTCCAATACATGCAAACACACTGGTCATGCACCGCACACAGCCACTACTATGCGTATGCATGAAAAATAAAAAGGCCTAATGAATAATGAAAAAAAAGCCACATGCTTTTCCAAAATGTTCCAGATGCAAATCTAAAACTTCATTCTCATGGCCTAAATAAAGTCTGAGATCCAGTGGTTGTAGACTGGTCTGGTTCCTGTTTCCAATGCATCCAACATGTGCAAGAAAAAAGACAGAAACCTGTCTTCCTAAAAACTAAACTCTGAAACTCTAAACTGTAACCTGAAACCTAAGCTCATAATAGCCACTTTGAAAAAAGGAAAAACTTGGCACACCTTGGAAAGAGGCAGTCTAAGTAAGAGAGTTAGTGAAATTTGTCTGGCATGTCTGGCCTACCTGGAAAGTAATTTTGTTGTCGAAATTGTGAACGTATTATTTGGGGGCAACGACTTACGGCACATTTTCACGAAATTGATGAAACGAAAAGGCCCAACAACGAGAGCATTTCAAACTAATTCAGGCCTTATTAGGCCTATACCTCTAAATGGGAGATAGACAATAAAATATTAACGAGTCACCTTTGTAACCTCAGAGCAATATCCTCTTTTCAAAGCACCAAAATTACAGGGAATCCGGCGGAAAATGGAAAATGCCCTGGGCGCAGCCATCTTGGGTTAGGCCTAATGCATTGTGGGAAACGATTGTTTGGGAATTTAAATTGCTGGGTTTGGCGTCCTGTTTCTATAGCGATTTTGTGGTTGGCTGAATGTTGTCTGTGTGGTCGTCCCGACTAACTTCGATTTTTCATCGATGACACACCGTAGTGGCATGGTCTATGACCTGGAAAAGAATCACAGTCGAGCAGAATTCGAGGGACGCGGTGACAGTCTTTGACAGGGATTTGGTCAGATTAAACGCCAGTGTTTAAAATGCAGCCCCCGAGCTGAAGAATGGACATGATGGAGACAGGGAATATGTTGTCGTCGATGGTTCAAACACGCTCAATTGAGAGAGTGTTAGCTCCAATTGCAGCACAGGTATTCAGACGTACTGTTAATACATGTACTAAATTTAAATACTAATTTCAATTAGGCCTAGCTGCAGTTGGTTGTCTGGTTCTGCAAACAGAAACATTCCAATTTCCAAGGTCCCTGGCGTCGCGATCAAAAACTTTCATTCATGGACAGGTTTTCATCCAGAAATATCTGGAAATTATCCAGCTGCATAGGCCTACATAACAATTTTGGGCAGTCTTATAATACAAGGCAAAGTCTTTTAACTTCATTGTTCCAACTCACTCCAGGACAAATACTTTTTTTGTTACACTCTATTAAAGACTAGAATGCACTGCTGTCTAACATCAAAAGCATTTCCAGTCTTCCTGTATTTAAAAAACAAGTAAAGTCACATCTACATGTATCACAAAAAGTCGATTAATAGAGAAATGTAGTGTTTATAATTAATAGGACGGATTTTAAATGGGGAGGGTTAAATGACTTTGACAGTATAATGTTTTTATTGTATTTGATTGTTCCGATTTTTAAATGATATGGAGTTTTGAAAATGATTGTAATTAATAATGGGTAAATGGGCTGATAATTCACTGTTTTTTCATGTTTTGTTTGTTCTGGATATGTGTAATTTTACATGTACTTACGGGATCCTGATGGAAATAAGCCTATGTAATTGGCTTTCTTGGGTTATCCCAGAATGAATCAACCGTCAGCTTTCTCAATGTACGTTTGTTGTTTGGTTGATTGATTTCTGAATAAAATAATCATAATTTAATAATAATAATAATCATTGGAAAGACGAATGCTAGCAGTATTCTTTGGTGGTCAGTAGTTTGCCGGGTTCAACATCTTTGACATCTGTACAGTATGTCTTGTTTTTCCAACACAGGGCGTGTGCCACATGCACACTAAAGGTGCGCATTGTAAAGTCTCTAAAACCTGTTTATGGGACTGGATAAAAATCTTGCAGTTACTTTTGTGTCCAAAACTGACACATTTGAAAGTAGACACTCCTCGTACTTTCATGACAAGAAATCAGATAATACTTAATTGTACGTAATACTAACGAGAACAAAGATGTTACAAAAATATGAACTCTGAGCTTTTCAGTTAAAATCCACACTTATTTTTGTCTACTTAGTAATCCCTGTTTGCTCTGCATTACAATGTACAAAAAAAGATTAAAATATCTCCAAACATTCCTGCTTCAAATCAGTTTTTCTTTGTTCGATGGAAAGCAAACTTATATTGAAATGATACTTTTGACATCTTCTGCGAGATCACTTCAACACAAAAGAGAAAAAAATATTTGAAAAATTTACAAATGTATTAACCTCCTTAACTGCCAGCGTTCTCCATTAGAATGTTCTGAATATCTTCAAAATGCTTTGAAACATGCTAGAATAGGATTGAGTCATCCGTAAAGTACATGTAATCCTGGGATACTGTGAACTTGGGGACCCCAAGTTTTTGTCATTTTGATACATGTACAGTGTACATGTATGTGCTAAACTGGTCATTCCTCCCAAAAGCCAAAGGCAACACTGTCTAAACTACCCTGACCCTGTTTTGGGGAAATTTCAAATTGCATATTGTGAGAAAAAGTGACTTAATACTGATAAATCAGCCATGCAAATTTGATTTCACCATGTGTCATGTGTTAACAGTTTCCCCTCATAATTTCCTTCAAAACTCAAAACCCTGCCCTATTTTCACATCATCAACTCTCAATTAAGCATGATGTAACAGTCATCTACCGAGGGGAATCCAAAAGTTAAAATGTACATGTACATGTAGGTCTCCCTTCTGTTATAGGAACAGGGTCCCCAAATTCGCAGTGTCCCCTAGTCACATCTTTTAGCATTTGAACATTGTCGTTTGATAGTTCAAATGTTAAACAAATTAAAATACATGTAAGCAGTTTATAAGGTCCTTGTTACTCAGACTTGGGCTTACAGTAAAAAGCAATACACTTTGACCCTTACATGTACACGTATACATGTACATGTCGTTCTTCAAAATGTCCGGTTGTTAGAAATCATTCCTCAACTTCATGGAAAGACATGCAAATGAAAGAATTACTCAAGTATATTTCAAACAATGTTTACGCGATAAAGGGTCTGAGAATTTTGTTCTTACTGAAATCATCGAAAATGTACCTTTGTCTTTCAAATAGTTAATATTTTTGATTTGTTAAAATTGCTACATGTATTTTAAAAAGTCGTTTGGTGCCTTTTTGTTTTATGCTGACTTACATCTTATGCCCCCAGGTACAGATGACTATTAACGTTTCAGTGCCCTATGATTGAACCCAAATAAATGTATTTCAAATAAGGTTATGGTATGAATCTTTTAAAACGACTCCAACTACATGTAGTTGTGCCAATAACTGGTAACTACATAACCAGGTATTACATGTAGTTGACTAAAAAGTTACGTGCATACACAGACCAAAACAAACTAAACAAGAAAAAAAAAATTACTGTATTTCCCCCCTGCCTGGTATTACTGTTCAAAATCTTGTTTGCCCTTCCAAATTTTGTTCAGCACCCTGGTACTCTGACATGTCTGGGTGGTCCACCAAGAGGGGGTTACTTGTGGTTTTTCTATTTCTGTAACACTATCCCTCAGACTAAGCATTGGCACTTATTTAATTGAGCACAAAGGACTCACATGTGCACATGTACCATGCAGGGCAGGGGAATATCCTTTGCTCCTTTTGATAAGTTCTGTGTTCCATGGTACATGTACTACCTTGTAATTGACCTTTGACACTAGCTGTTGTTTACCATTCCCAGGTCTCTCAGTTGATCATCCTGAATGAGTCGGCAGAGGGGGAAGGGGGAAAGCTGCCCAACCTGGTCCCCTTTGCCCAGCAGGTGCTGCGAGCCACTGAGGACCTGGTCCAAGTTGGCCAGAATCTCGTCGGGCAGACCACAGATGAGGTATGAACTGATACACGTTGTATTCCATTCACTTGAACGTACATGTTGTTGTACATACTGTACATGTACATGTACATGTATGCTCCCAAATGGGTTTGTCATGATCAGATGTTTTGTGATGATGGCGACTCAGATTCATCAATTTTAAGCTTTACTTTTTTATCCCAATTTGTTCACCCACCCAGCCAACCCAATTTTTTATCTTGTCTTTTTTTTTCAACTTGCTATTTAATACAATCCAACGAGTGTATGGTTCTTAACCAGAAGGTGGGATTTAGTGATTTCCTAGAGGTACCCACAGTTTTGGAGAAAAAATTGAAACATTGACAGTTTTGAGTGGCTCATAACCTGTATGTTGTTTTCAATACCAGAGCTTGCCAAGGTTTGGTCTCTCCAAAAGGTAAGGTCAGTTTAGAATAAGGCAGCTGGCGTCATTCCAGTTTGAACATGTTCAGTGCATATGAGTCGGTGTGCAGCTGTGCTGCGTAATGACTGAATGACTTATGACGTGAAACATATCAAGCATGTGAGTGCCAATAAATGCTTAAGTGGTTTACTGTGAAGAAAG